GCTTTTTTTGCTTCCCATTTTATTTTTTTTTAATTTTTTTTAATTTATATATATATATATATATATTTTTTATCACAACCATAGTGTATCTTTTTTATTTTTTTTTTACATGTATTCCCCATCCCGGTCCCCCCTCCCACCTCCCTCTCCACCCAATCCCTCTGGGTCTTCCCAGTGCACCAGGCCCGAGCACTTGTCTCATGCACCCAACCTGGGCTGGTGAACTGTTTCACCCTAGATAATATACGTGTTTCAATGCTGTTCTCTTGAAACATCCCACCCTCGCCTTCTCCCAGAGTCCACAAGTCTGTTCTATACATAGGAGTCTCTTTTTCTGTTTTGCACATAGGGTTATCGTTACCATCTTTCTAAATTCCATATATATGTGTTAGTATACTGTAATGGTCTTTATCTTTCAGGCTTACTTCGCTCTGTATAATGGCCTCCCATTTTAATGGAATATATTTTTCCATCCTCTCACTTTCAGTCTATATGCGTCTTAGGTCTGAAGTGGGTTTCTTGTAGACAGCATATATTTGGGTCTTGTTTTTGTATACACTCAGCCAGTCTGTGTCTTTTGGTTCTAGCATTTAATCCATTTACATTTAAAGTAATTATTGATATAGATGTTCCTATTGCCATTTTCTTAATTGTTTGGGGTTGATTTTGTAGATCCTTTTCTTTTCTTGTATTTCTTGACTACATAAGTCCCTTTAACGTTTGTTGTAAAGCCGGTTTGGTGGTACTGAATTATTTTAACTTTTTTTCTTGTCTGAAAAGCTTTTTATGTCTCCATCAATTTTGAATGAGATCCTTGTCTTTTACAGAAATCTTGGTGGTAGATTTTTCCCTTTCAGTACTTTAAATATATCCTGCCATTCCCTTCTGGCCTGCAGAGTTTCTGCTGAAAGACCAGCTGTTCAGTGCATGGGGTTTCCCTTGTATGTTACTTGTTGCTTTTAATGTTCTTCCTTTGTGTTTAGTTTTTGTTAGTTGGATTAATATGTGTCTTGGCATGTTTCTCTTTGGGTTTATTGTGTATGGGACTCTTTGCACCTCTTGGACTTGATTAACTATTTTCCTTTCCATGTTGGGAGAATTTTCAACTATAATCTCTTCAAAAATTTTCTTATATCCTTTCTTTTTCTCTTATTCTTCTGGGACCCTTATAATTCGAATGTTGGTGTTTGATATTGTCTCAGAGGTCTCTGAGACTATCTTCAGTTCTTTTCATTCTTTTTACTTTATTCTGCTCTTCAGAAGTTATTTCCACCATTTTATCTTCCAGCTCACTGATTCGTTCTTCTGCTTCAGATGTTCTGCTATTGATTCCTTATAGAATATTTTTAATTTCAGTAATTGTGCTGTTTGTCCTGTATGTTTATTCTTTAATTCTTCTAGGTCTTTGTTAATTGATTCCTGCATTTTCTCCATTTTGTTTTCAAGGTTTTTGATTATGTTTACTATCATTATTCTGAATTCTTTTTCAGGTAGTTTTCCTATTTTCTCTGGTTTTTTTTTTTTTTTTTTTGGACTTCTGTGTTTTTAGTTTGCTCCTTCATTTGTGTAGTATTTCTCTGTCTTTTCATTATTTTTTTTTAATTATTGTGTTTGAGGTCTCCTTTTCCCAGGCTTTTGAATTCTTTCTTCCTTCTGGTTTCTTCCCTCCTAAGGTTGGTCCAGTGTTTTGGGTAAGATTGTGAGATTTGTGCTGTGTTTCCCCCCCCCCCCCCTTTGTTTGTTTGTTTGTTTTTCCTCTGATGGGCAAGGCTGAGTGAGGTGGTAATCCTGTCTGCTGCTGATTGGGTTTATATTTTTGTTTTATTTGTTGTTTAGATGAGGCGTCCTGCACAGAGTGCTACTGGTGGTTAGGTGATGCCACGTCTTGTATTCAAGTGGTTTCTTTTGTGTGAGTTCTCACTATTTGATACTCCCTAGGGTTAGTTCTCTGGTAGTCTAGGGTCTTGGAGTCAGTGCTCCCACTCCAAAGGCTCGGGGCTTGATCTCTGGTCAGGAATGAAGATTCCACAAATGGTTTGTTATGGCATTAAGTGAGATTAAAACAAATACTGAAAAGTGAGAAACCTGAGATGAACCCAAGAAAAATGGTATTTACAAAATGAGGCAAATAATGATCAAAATATTGGAATACACACATATATATATGCACCCATAAGTAAAATCAAAACAGTCCTACAAAAATAAAGTACAGTAGATTGACCCAGAGAACAAAGGAAACTAAAAATTATATGTACCAGTTAAGAACAAAGCTAACTAAAGCACAAACTAGAAAACAAAACTAAAGCAAGGTGCCAAGTAGTGAATAAAGCAATGAAAAAAACCCTAACAATTGTTTTACTTCTAATGACCTCTCCTGACTACCTTATGTGTGAAACACAAAAGAAATAACTTTTCAGCAGCATATTTTGGCTAAATAAAAATTGGTGTAGCCAATATGTTAGAATGTACACCCTGTGGCTATAAATAAAACACGGTGTTTTTTTTTTTTTTAATTTTATTCAATGAGGAGGCTTATTTTTTCTCCCTCTGGATGAAAATGTGTGCTGAATCTAGTGTAACAGATGGTTCTAGACTTATCTCAAGTTATAAAACATAATATCAATTTAGAGATTAGAAGCATTTAGTGTAAGATATTAATCAATATTTCAATCTTCATTCAAAGTATTACAATAGCACTTTTATACACACAGGAAAAAAAAATAATATTCACACACACAAAAAAAACTCTTAAAAAAGCTTTTGCCCCTCTAAACCTGATACCTTTTTATGCTCTTGCTTGAGAGTTTCCTAAGAATCTTGGCTCCAAGTCTTTTTTCTTTTTTTTTGCTTTGTTTGTAACATTAACCTGGCGCCTTCTGTGACAATTATTGCTTCTTGGTACCTGAACTGAAATTTCAATTTTGACATCTTCTTACACTGACATTTTAATGTCTCATAAAAATTCCTTCCCAAGGGAGTGTGTACTTTCTCTCAAATATCAAGAGAAACTTGCTATATAAAAACATAAAGATGCTTGGCAGAAGAGTTAAGTGGCTTGTGCAAGACAACCTAAATATTAGTTCAGATATGTTAACTACTTCACAGGTTGTCCTGAATTATATTAGCCTCTCATTCAAAGATGAAAACTACATGTTTTGCATGACAATAGGAACTTTCAAGAGGAACAAAACTCTTCAGACATTGGGAGAAATAAATGCAGATATATGGTTTCTGATAATTCAAACATTCAAAGAAAATGTCTTAGGAAAATTAAGTATAGAGCTTGAGTATCTAAATTGAGCAATGTATCCTCAAAAGAGTCACAAATTCTAGATGAACTACACTGATTATAATGGTGGAGAACTAAACTAGCTTTCTTAACTTGAAGTGAAGTTCAGAAAAAATATAAGACTAATAATACATCCATAGGTCAAAATAAAAATCAATGTTGATCTGTGTAGGTTAAATATGGTTTGCCTAATAACAGTGATTTAGCAATCAGAAACTCAGAAGTTTACTAAGAAAAGGTTTTTTACCAAAGAACTACATAGATCAGTCCAATTGAAACCCAGATATCTCTTTTGAGAGATAAAAATGAAGAGAGGGACAATATTCCAATTGTTATTGAAGCTTCCTAATGTTAAGACACTTGGTAATTTGGTATCTTAATGTATAAGTATGAGATTGAGGGATGTTTTTAATGAATGAGTGTATTGTAGCTAAGGTCTTTTAAGGTTGAAGTAAAAAGAAGTCCACTCAAAAGACTGTGTGTGTTTTTAAATATAAAGAGAATCTCATGGAACCCAAGGAGAGAAAGTATGTTCAGGCTTTAAGTGAACTGGAATTGAAAGACAGGAAGTCGGGCCTGACTAAAAAACTATATAATCACTCTAGTTTCTAATTTTATTTTATACCTATGCCATTCTCCTTGCTCATCTGTTTTCTTTTTCCTTGGCCTATAGACTACTAAAACCACTGGGGCTAGAATTAAACTACTGTGCCCCTGCTGAGAGTTTATATGTTGGTCATTCACCTTTCTTGTAAGTTATTAATATATGCTAGGTTCACCCAAGCCCATCTAATTTAATCTGCTATTGACAAGGAGACACTGAGTTTTGTGATACTTATGTTTCACCTCCTAGGAAATACATTTTTATTGGTTTGATTTTGAACAGACATAGTAGTGTCTGTCAGTTATCAGTTCAGTTCAGTCACTCAGTCATGTCCAACTATTTGCAATCCCATTAACTGCAGCAAGCCAGGCTTCTCTGTCCCTCATCAACACCCAGAGCTTGCTCAAACTCATGTCCATTGAGTCGGTGATTATATCCAACCATCTCATCCTCTATCATCCCCTTCTCCTGCCTTCAATCTTTCCCAGCATCAGGGTCCTTTCCAATGAGTCAGCTCTTTGCATCAGGTAGCCAACGTATCGGAGTTTCAGCTTCAGTGTCACTCCTTCCAATGAATACTCAGGACTGATTTCCTTAAGGATTGACCAGTTTGATCTCCTTGCAGTCCAAGGGACTCTCAAGAGTCTTTTCCAACACCACAGTTCAAAAGCGTCAATTCTAAAGCATTCAGCTTACTTTATGGTCCAACTCTCACATATACATGAGTACTGGAAAAACCATAGCTTTGACTACACAGACCTTTGTTAGCAAAGTAATGTCTCTGCTTTTTAATAATCTGTCTAGGTTGGTCGTAACTTTTCTTCCAAAGAGCAAGCATCTTTTAATTTCATGGCTGCAGTCACCATGTGCAGTGATTTTGGAGCCCCCAAATATAAAGTTTCTCACTGTTTCCACAGTTTCCCCATCTATTTGCCATGAAGTGATGTGACTGGATGCCATGATGTTCATTTTTTTTTTTCAAGTGTAAAAGCAGTGACTTTTTATTCAAACAGAAGCAGCATCTAGGAATTAATTCTGGCACTTGGGTTCTAGGGGGTTACAGGTACGCATCATGGATTTTTCTCCCTCTTTTTTTTTAAAGGCCTCATGTCTATTCCTGAGTTCATACCAACACCTGCTGGCGCCTCCGCTCTAGTGGACAGAGGTGGTGGCCAGCCAGCCTCCCTGGTTAGATTGGGCAATGCCAAGCAGAGATGCCTCTTCCACCTGCCTGGGCTTGCTTTTCTGATTCAAGGTAAGTCGAGGTACAGAGAAAGGAACCGACAAAAACACAACCAAAGGCAGCCTGAGTTGTTAGGGACCACTCTCCTAATCCTTTTTCCAGGAAAAGACAAATCACTCATGGAATCTGAATCAAACAACAGGGAGGGCAACTGCCAAAAAAAAGGCATGATGGACTCAAGTCATCTTAAGCCATCTAATAACTCACTCATCTGCTCTAACCTTTCCTGGGCTCCTCTCTCAAGCATGCACTCCAGTTTAAAAAAGACCCCCCACCCCTACCATAAAAAGACAACCCTCAAGTGCTTCTTAGTACATATAGTTCACTTGGGCTAAGATGAAGTCAGGAATTTCTCGAAAGCATCCCTGCGCCCAGTTCTGCCCCAACCATATATGCAGTTATTTCTCTCTCTGCTGCTCGTGGATCTGAGCCATGTTAGGTATCTCTGTACACTATGTACTTACATGTGCACACACATACACACAGCTGGCTGCGGATTCTGTCTGCCCTTAGTCCAGGTTCCTTTTGCTTCATATATGATCAATACCTTCCGATTCCTTTGAAGTTGATGGAACAGAACTTCCCATGAAGAAACAATCCCTGGAGTTTCATGGACAGTCCATTGATCTTAAGAATTAGTACGATCTAGGGGAATGGGTATGGCAAGAATGGCAACACCACATCAGGACAGACACCCACTTGTTCACTTCCACCAGCCCTTGTGGCATCTGTCTGCCTTCTGTGTTTCCTGTCCACCTCTTCCTTCAGCCTCATACACATTCACTTGTACCCCCAGCTACCTTCTGCATTTCCAAGTATAATTTGCCGTTAAAGCCCACAATCCTGCCTTTCTGCTACCCATCCCAATAATATCAAGTGGGGATGATTAATACCAGCTTAAATGTTAACCATTTTCCAACACTTCTGGATTATCTGAAAAGTTGTCCACGCCCTTTTACAGGTTTACCCTGACAGACCCGTATCATGTTGAAGTGTGTTCATTGTTAAGGCTTTGACTTAAGAAAACGGTTAAGAGCAGAAGACACAACAGAGACATCTTCGGCTCGTGTCTCTCAGTCAACTCGCTCAGTCACATATTGGTTTGGTTCCCCAAACCCACGGTGGAAAAAAAAAAAAAGATAATTTTTGTGTTTTTGTTTTTAAAGGCATCAGGTTACTTCCTTCTGTCCTCTTCTTTCTTCCCTGAACAAGAGTTTACAACTCCTCATGGCTTCTTAATAGATGAAGTAGGTGAAATGTCCAAGAAATTCACAGCAGGGCTTCCTGTCTCAACCACGTAGCTGAGGCTTGGTGCCTGTGCCTTCCCAGCCCCGCTCTAACTGGCAGTACATTTCATGTTTCCTGAAAACATTTCAGGGCTTCGGGGTCATCATTCCAGCGCCGCTTCAACCGAAGCTTGGGGGGCATCAGGGCATCTTCTTTCTTCTCAGGTGCCCCAGGCTCTTTGCCAGGCCTATCCTCATTGTCTTCAGACACCTCCAGGGGCTCTTCACTTGGGGTGCTAATGGGCACAGGAGGCCACACAGGCGGTGCAGCCGGGCGGGCGAAGATGGTGCTTTTCCCCTCTTCCGTGGTCCTGCTTGGCACAGTGCCCTCTTCTTGAGAGCGCTCCTCCTTCTCCCGTGCCAATTGCCTGAGGCTCTTGGGATCCTTTTCCAAGGCTCGTTCCACTTTAATTCTCGGCGGGACAGGAGTCAGTGTGGGAACAGGGACAGGGGCTGCCTCCTCGCTGCTCTCCACCCTCTCCCGGTTCTTGCGCCCGACGGGTGGGGGCTGCAGCTTGATAGAAAACTGTGAGGACTCCTCAGCGTGCACCTGGCACTGCAGTGGTGGGACCATGAGGCCTGGGTAACGAGGAAATGTCCGTGGACTCAGATGGTAGTTGAACACAGAACAGGCTTGAGAATGAAGGTAGTGTTTCATTTCTTCAGGGTTGAAGGAGAAGCAGCTGCTGCTGGTGAAGGGGCTCAGGCCTGGTGAGGGGCTATAGGAGAAGATGGTGGGAGGTAGGGAGAGGGCTGGTGAAATGGGGACGTTAAGGACGCCTCCACGGCCTGGGATCGGAGAGACGGCGAAGGGACTATGGGGTTCAGGGTACATCCCTGGCCTGGAGAACAAAGGAAGCATGATGTCAGGCTTGCGCTTCTGATGGCCAATCCCTCCACCCACAGCACTTCGGGAGGACATGAGATCCACGCCTGGGCGCCAGTCAGCGGCTGGGCCATCCTCCAGCTCTGAAAGCTCCACCTTTCTATCAGTGCCATTACTTGACTCCTGGCCAGAAGCAGTTAGGGAGCTAGCAGAGTACCGCCCTGGCTGCACATCGCTAGTTGGAGAATGGGTGTCCAGAGGTGGGAAATGGAAGCGGGAAGAGCCTGTTGGCACTGGTGGCGCACTCTGGGCAACCACACCACTTGACCGAATGTTGATGAATGGGTAGTTGGGCATCACCAGCTTGTTGAAGTTAAATTTATAAGTAAACCTTTTCCCTTTTGTTTTATGAAGGATCCTCTTGTTATAATAGTATCTCAGGGCCCGGCTCAGCTTGTCGTAATTCATCTGTGGTTTGCACTTCCTGCGGCCCCAGAGGCGGGCCACCTCGTCTGGATCCTTGATGACGAATTCCCCGTACTCTCCCTGCTGCCAGGCAATGACATGGCGGAACTCCTCCTTCTGCAGCAGCTCCAGGATGAAGTGCCACAGCTGGATCTGCCGGGAGCCCGGGGACGACTCTGTTTTATAGGCCCAATCAGGAAACTGATACCCTCTCCCCTGCACGGTCGGTCTTCGGTCCGGTCTCCTCCGCGGCCTCTCCGGCTCCTCCTCATCCACCCCAGCAGGAAGTGACCTCCTCGGCTGCTTTCGTCACTTCCATCCTCAGCGGAGAGGGCGGGGGAGGAGGCGGCGCCCTCCCGCCGGTCTCCCAGCCGCGCCTCGCCGCACCCAGCTGCGTCTCCCTTTCCTTTCTCCTTTTGATGTTCATTTTTTTGAATGTTGAGTTTTATGCCAGCTTTTCATTCTCCTCTTTCACTTTCATCAAGAGGCTCTTTAGTCCTCCTTGCTTTCTGCCATAAGGGTGAAGTCATTTGCATATCTGAGGTTATTGATGTTTCTCTCTGAAATCTTGATTCCAGCTGTGATCCATCCATTCCAGCATTTCACATGATGTACTCTGAATATAAGTTAAATAAGCAAAGTGACAATATACAGCCTTGATGTACTCCTTTCCTGATTTGGAACCATTCTGTTGTCACATGTCCAGTTCTAACTGTTGCTTTTTGACCAGCATACAGATTTCTCAGGAAGCAGGTCAGGTGGTCTGGTATTCCCATCTCTTTCAGAGTTTTCTACAGTTTGTTGTGATCCACATAGTCAAAGGCTTTAGCATAGTCAATGAAGCAGAAGTACATGGTTTTCCTGGAATTCTTTCACTTTTTCTATGATCCAACATATGTTGCCAATTTTATCTCTCGTTCCTTTGTTTTTTCTAAATCCAGCTTGAATATCTGGAAGTTCTTAGTTCATTTAATTTTGAAACCTAGCTTGGAGAATTTTTAGCATCACTTGCTAGCATGTGAGATGAGAGCAATTGTGTGGTAGTTTGAGCATTCTTTGGCATTACCTTTCTTTGGGATTGAAATGAAAACTGACCTTTTCCAGTCCTGTGGCCACTGCTGAGTTTTCCAAATTTGTGGCATATTGAGTGCAACACTTTCACAGCATCATCTTTTAGGATTTGAAATAGATCAGCTGGAATTCCATCACCTCCACTAGCTTTGTCCATAGTGATGCTTTCTAAGGCCCACTTGCCTTTGCATTCCAGGATGTCTGGCTTTAGGTGAGTGATCATACCATTGTCATTATCTGGGTCATGAAGATCTTTTTTGCATAGTTCCTCTGTGTATTCTTGCCACCTCTCCTTCATATCTTCTGCTCCTGTTAGGTCCATACCATTTCTGTCCTTTACTGTGCCCATCTTTGCATGAAATTATCCCTTGTTATCTCTAATTTTCTCAAAGTGATCTCCAGTCTTTTCCATTCTATTTTTCCCTCTATCTCTTTGCACTGATCCCCTAGGAAGGCTTTCTTATCTCTCCTTGTTTTGTTTGAACTCTGCATTCAGATGGCTATATCTTTCCTTTTCTCCTTTGCCTTTAGCTTCTCTTCTCTTCTCAGCTATTTGTAAGCCCTCCTCAGACAACCATTTTGCCTTTTTGCATTTTTTTTTCTTGGGGATGGTCTTGATCACCTCCTGTACAATGTCACAAACCATCTATAGTTTTTAAGGCATCCTATCAGAGCTAATCCCTTGACTTTATTTGTCACTTTTACTGTATAATCATAAGGGTTTGATTTAGGTCATACCTGAATGGTCTAGTGGTTTTCGCTACTTTCTTCAATTGAAGTCTGAATTTTGCAATAGGGAGTTCATGTTGCAAAAGAATCAGACACAACTTAATGACTGAACAACAGCAACAACAACATCAGTTGTTTTATTCTTAGATTTAAAGGAATCTTAGAACTCATTCATTTTATTCTGTAGTCTAAGGATACCAGTTTCACAAATGCATGCTAACAATTGGAATCCAAAACACTAACTGCTAGTTACTAACTGTTTTACCAGTTTCCCTCTCTGTAGTTCTCTGAAATAGCTCTGAGCTTAAATAGTGCATTGTTGTTGTTGCTTAGTCCCTCAGTCATGTCCAACTCTTTGTGACCCCATGGACTGCAGCAACCCAGGTTTCCCTGTCCTTCATCATCACCCAGAGTTTGCTCAAACTCATGTCCATTGAGTCAGTGATGCCATGCAACCATCTCATCCTCTGTTGTCCCCTTCTCCTCCTGCCTTCAATCTCTACCATCATCAGGGTCTATTCCAATGAGTTGGCTCTTTGAGTAGTGTATTACCTCACTCTCAACTGGAGTTGAGAAAGACAATTGGCTGAGTGCTGTCTGGAAAATAGAAGTAAACTTTCTTTTTCCTAAAAGTATTATTCACATCAAATAGTCTTTCTAGAACTGAAGATATGAAAGAGCAGTCCTAATATGATGTTATGTTTTTGCTCAAATCTAGTACTTCAGATTCTCCTCTCAGAATTAGCTTGATTTCGAAATAAGAAAATGCATATGAGTTTTTACTATAATATCTGATTCATAATAGGTGTTCAGAAGATATAATTTAAATTAATATGAATATATATATATGTATATATATATATATATATATATATATATATATTACTTAGGATATATCTATCTCTTCAAATCTCAGTTTCTTAAATTACTTCTTCAGTTGTCTATTGCCAAGCATGCTCTCTCTTTGCTGTTAGTATGAGTGTTTTTCCCTATAGAGAATGCTGGAATTTGCGTACACAATTCAGTTTAGCTTCAACAGTTCCCCTCTCTGGACTACGTTGGAAAAAGCTCCACTGTTGGGAGAATTAATAGGGAATTTATAATTATTGGGTCACCAAGCCAAAATTTCTCCCATATTGAACATTCTGTTCCCCACAAAGCTTAAATTACTCCAAATGATCTGTTTTTGTAAGTAATGTACATACCCATGGCACACATAAATGTATAATGAAACAACTACATAACTGAAGTTTAATTACAAGCTGGCACAGTCAAGAAAACTTCCATGTACCCATCACTGTGCTCATGAAATCAGGTTACTGGGCCAACTGAATATATTCAGCAGCATAGTATGAGTTAGATTCTATTGTTGGGCCCACAGAGTCAGAAATAGTTTCACACTTAAGAATTTTTCTGAGTATATGTGTGTATGTTTGCAGAGGTGAGCTTATAGTTGTCAAACTCTTCAAATTTTTCTTTCATAGATGTTTGCAATCATTTGTTTCTAGTCACTTATTTTTACTTTTGAGGTATTTAGGCTCAACTTTTATCAGGTGTAGGCTTATATTATTCCCAAAGGATGCTTTCTTTTAAATTAGACAGTCAGCTTGATGCAAAGAGTTTCCTAAAAATAATTTAACTTTGTCTACCATCTTTAACTTTGTCTACCATCCTATTTACCAGGATGGCTTAGAAAAAATCTCAATACCAAAAGGCTCTCCTTTGCTATTTTTTCATCTTCTTGCACAGAAATATTGCTTTAAAATTCAGTTACTCTTTATCAGATAAACAGAGCTTAATATATCTACAAAAGTTTCTATACTGCTTTAAAAACTTAAGCAAATTTTCAACTGATGACATGAGTCAAGTTACAAATATAAAACATCAAATATGTGTAGTTAAACTTTTGCTACAATGACTTTTAAAAGATTCCTGTTGCTAACTGCAGTTAACACATAATGTTTCACTCTGAATAGTAACCTAAACTTTGTTGAAAATTAATGTTGATGTCAGTAAATTGGTTGTACTGCTGACTGTGAAACAGAACTGCGAATTATTATTAAAAAAGGTATGCAAATAATATGGAAATACTTGGTCTCAGCTAGAACTAAAAATAATCTAACAACAAAAAATACTACATCAACAGCATGTAGGTGTGGAGATTTTTGGTTTCCACTACAAATGCAGTTTGAAAGTTTTCATGTGTAATTCATGAGATTTCCATGATTCATTTTCAGGAAGAATAAGGTTCTTTGCACTGGAAAATGATAAGCTTTTATTTTTTATTTTCCCCCTGTTTTAAAATAGAAACCACATTTCCTCCTAGTTGTACATAAATGGTTTGTTACACATTTTTTTGAAATAGAACAGTTAGAGATATATGAAAAGCATCTGGCAGAGTCGTGTGAGAGAATCATATATTTCAGGACAAATGAAAATTCATTTGTCTGCTACACTAGAACCTTAAAACTCCATGTACTCAAGTAGGGACTGTTTACTAGTTTCCCCTTATGTAATGGAAAATGAAGTTTTCTTGAAATGAGATCATTTATAAAGAGCATTTTCTCTGTGCACATTCTGAAATGATTGACCTTAAATTCTGTTCATTAAGAGGAACATAAAGAGGTAGTTTTATATATATATATATATATATATATATAATTATTGGGGATATGGAGAATGAATAAAATGAACAGCACGTTTAATTATCAAGATCAGGTTTCTGGACAATTCATGGAAGAAAAAATTTCATATGCCAAAAAAAAAAAAATAGAAATATTCAACCTCTGAATAATAAAGGAATTAGAAGTTATCATTTTATCAAGTGGAAAACACTTTTAAAATCATATTAAATGATGTGGACAATGTGGACAGATAGGCATTTTTGTTTCCCATCAGTGTAGTAATCAATTCTACCTTTCTGACCCAGGAACACTCTTTCAAATAGATGTATTTAGGCAATAATTTCTATAAAAAGATGCTTGAGGTCACATTATTAGTCACAAAATACTGAAATACATTTTGGTTTAATTTTTACTAGCATATTATTCTGCCATCAGAGTCATACTTTCAAAGTATATTTAGTAACACATGAACATGTTAATGATCTAAATTTAAGTGAAAAACCTAAGTAAGGCCTATGAGTCCAAATTTGAAAAAGGAAATTCACTAATATTTTATGAGCCATAAAAACAAAAGAGATAAAAATACGTCTGAATGCTAGCAATGTTGGTTAATGAAATAAGAGGTAGCTTTGGGTTCTTGTACTTTTTTTTTTTAATTTTCTAAAATTTAGTAAATGGATTTAGTACTTTCAAAAATTAGTAAATATTTGATAAGAAAATATGTTTAAATGAAAATCTATTGTGTACCTGGAAAAGTTATGTAATTTCCAGGAGAGGTTTACACCTGGTCTTATAGGGGATGATTTCAAAATCTTTTGAGAATTGAAAGTTGGACTTCAGTAGGAGTAATTTGCATTTTTCCCAAAGATAAACAAAATC